AAACCCCGGTCTTCTGCATTGCAGGTGGATTCTTTGCTGCTGAACCACCAGGGGAGCCCAATGCTAGGAGAGACCCGACCAACAGAAGGGCCTGTTACACCCTGGGCAACGGCAGATCCTGCCTTCTTGCTGGATGGCTGGGATCAAGCTTCCCATTTTGTTTACAGGTCTTCTCCAAAGACCAGAATACCATGGGGCTGTCACCAGCCAAGGAGTCCCTCAAGACATAAAATGTGTGGGGTGCCATCATGATAGCAGTGAGCAGCCATCTCTGCCCGGGTGCCTGGTGAGGGTGCACCACCTGAGCCAAGGGCAACGGCCCCACAGTCCTGGGTCAGGGGTCACCTGCCCAGCAGCCCGCAGCTGCCCTGGGGAGTTAAGACTGTTGCAAGCATCAGCTGGGTGTCTAAACTCAGTGTCCCATCTGCCAGCTTCTCAGCTTTCAACGACTACATTTTGGCTCATTTAGTCTGTGTGACCCTGAACTTCCCGGGAAGAGACAAGAATAATGCAGAGAGCTTTGAAATAAGCAGGATCATTCTTGGCATTCACGCAAATAGAGGGATCAAAGGCTGCCTGCACTGCATAAAGGGAGCCGTTTTAGTGAATTGCCCAGACGTTCTACAAGGGACTAAAAGGCAGGGTTTCAAACACGTTTTGCACATCCACCCAGTTGCAGAAAGGCGTGTCTCAGGATAGACCCCTTTCTCAGGGCCCTCTGTGTGTTGGTTATTGCTAAGGCCTTTGTGGACAGCGTCTTTAAGCTTCCAGCATCCCTGTTTAATAGAAGGTGAAATTGAAGCTCGCGGAGATTAACTTGCCTACACTGAAAACTTTCTCTGCTGAGGCCTTTCAGAAATCTGTATAAGCAAACGAGAGTCATGAAAGAGTCCCTTCTGAAAAGTAATTTGGAAGCTGCTGAAAATGGTCTTGGTTTGGGAAACAGACATTTCTATGCACAGAGGAAGGACTGTTACACACGGCTTGCCTGGCAAACTTGGTAATGCAGTTTAAACTCTATGGTGAGTTTGCATAAACAAGCTCCACAGTGCAAAGAAGTTCTATTCAAGTTAGACATTCAATATAATTTGCACACAGCCACACTAAGCCAAGTTCAACGTGTGCTGTCTTCCTTTGCTGGGTCCTAACTTCACCCACAAGAGCAAGCCTGAGGCCTCACTGGGCCTGACTCAAGCCTATGATATAGTGGGAACTTGGGGGCAAAATGTGTCACTTGTTTTTAAAGCAGCAAGCTTTAAAAGTGCACACAGCATTCCTGCCCTGACTGAGACTCCTCCGGCTGTGGGTACAGTTTTATACAAAGCAGATCCTTTCTCGTCGCTTTGGGGGTGGGGGGTAGGGGGAGAAGTGGAATGAACCTGGATTCTGATCATTCTCCACGGGTGATGACTTGGAGTGTTTCCCAGTATTTTAACTTGGTCATGAGATTCCTTGTCAGGTTACGTAATGACTATGTAATAATCTCCATACAGTAGAGTGAGTTGTCCTATTTTCCGTCATGAGATGCAAAGATAAGATACCATTTCTTGGCTTAGATTGAGTACATAAGGAAGTCGCGTGAATTCCTCATTCTAGTAAAACTCCTATTCTCCAGCTCAGATTGAGTACATAAAATGAGTCCTGTGAATTCCTCCTTTAAAGTGACTGTTCAGGGCACACCCTTTGGAGAACTGGTCTGGGGCTCAGGGCAGCAGCAGGTTAAATTTTCAGGATTCTGTGAGCTGGTTGATTCTGGCCACCATAGCATTCACACCATGGAAATCAGCAAATGCGGCTGACTCCCCCTCCCTGGAGAGTCAGTGGTTAAAAATGTATTGGTATCCCCTAGCACCTCTGTCCTGCACCCAGACCCCTGAAAAGGAGATGGAGAAGGAGTTTGCCTCTCATGCGCCCGCCTTTGAGGCTGTTGTCTCCTACTGTATTCTGACACAGAAAAGAGTGGCAGAAATTCAAATTCTGGGCGAATGAATGACCCTGGGCATTGAACTAGAGCGGTCACCTTCAACATGGGCCTTGGAATGTGAAACAACTTGTCTCACCGTTATCCAGAGAGCTCGAGAGGGAGGTGGAAATGAAGATTAGAGTAAGTCCCCTACATAAGAATGAGTTCTGTTCTGAGAGCATGTCCATAAGTCCAAGTTGCTTGTAAGTACAACAGAGTTAGCCTAGGTACCCAGCTAGCACAATCAGCTATAGAGTACTGGACTGTAATGGGTTTATCATACTTTCCCAACAAATAAGACATAAAAACCAAACACAAAAAATAAAACATTAATCTTACAGTACAGTACCACAGCTGGCATAGAGGGGCACCTTCACTTCTTTGAAAGCTTGCAGCTTGTAGGTTTCCTATGTAAGGACTTACTGTATTAGGAATGGATGTGGGAGTTCACCTCAATACGGTCCTGCCTTTCTACCAGTAACTTGACCCGTGCAGACAACAGCTGAACTAGAGGTTGATTTCTAAGTCAGATCATCCTTTGCCTTGATCTAAGGTGCCCACTCCTCAAAAGGTTAGGAGCCGGGCACTGGACCTTGTTCAGGCGATACTGGGGCCAAGGCCTTTTCATGATGATGAAAATATTCTCTGTCTTGTGTAGGAGTCGGTTGCCACCTGTAGCTCTTGGGCACCTGTGAGGTTGCAGATGTGATTAAAGAATTTTCACTTGTGATTAATTTGAGGCTGAATTTCAACAGCCACCCATGGCACCTGTAGTGGACAGCGTGGCCCAGCGCTTGCAGTCACCCCGCTGGGGGTCAGCCTGTGTATGGAGCTTGTAAAGGCACATTCATCACAGTGAATGCATAGGTATAGGGGAAACGTGCAGAGCTTTCAGGACCCAACCTTGCTAACCAGCAAGGCAGCCCTCATGCCACCATGCAGAGGCCCCTGGCCCTGGGTTAAGCACCTCCTGTCCTGCTCCCCTTTCCAGCTTCAAGACAGGAGATGAGCTCCAAGGGACAGGTGAAGAAATGAGGCACAGAGAGGTGAAGCCCTTGCCCCAAGTCCTCAGAGCCAGAATTCCCATCTAATGTGTCTTAATAAACTCAACACCACTTGGTAGAGTGATGCAGCCTCAGAAAACTCAGATTTCAAACAACTAGACTCTGCCCTTGTTCTAATAGAAGGAGCCTCGATCTAGAACACAGTTGCCCTTGCATGGGTGTTCATCGATGATCAACCCGTGCAGGGCTTTATTTTGGCATACATACCCATGAGATGCACGCTGTTTAGATACACATTTGGTTTTACACCATTTGCTGAATTTTATTTCCCGTTTGGTGATGCTCGTGTCTTTCTATTTTGCTGTCTGGTCTAAATCACTAGCAGCTGTATTGAGGTCTGTGATCGGTCCTGTCTGGGCTTTTTATGTTTCTATGGGAATGTGCTCTGCTGATCAACAAATCCCTTATAGACCCACCACACTGTATTGCTTTTGGCTGTGTATTTATTCAAGTCTAAATGATTGAAATGGGATGAAAATGGAGATGTAAACCCAAAATTCAACAAAGACTTTTGAAAGCCTTCTGTCATGGTAGGTTACTACTAATTTCCTGTTAGATTAGTTTACAAATTGCTAGCAACTCATTTTGCTTCGTACTGTCAGCTGCAAACAATGCCAGGTCATAGGACATGCCAGGCAGGGGGCGGCGGGGGCGGGAGGTAGGTTACTGACCGTCAGCTCCTTTTGTAGATGGGCCACCCGCATGAAGCTGGAGAGGCCAGATGCCAAGGGCACTGTCTACATCAGGCAGCTTGGCTCTGGGGCCAGGCCTTAAGCCTCCTCTGCTACCTTGGAACACAGAGGTTGTTTCCTCCCTTTAGTTTGCAAGATGCAAACACGATGTAACTCAGTCACAGCCATCCCGTGCACTGGGTGGCTTGCTGTCCTGACAGTGCATTTCTGGGCTTAGCATCATGCTGGCCTAGCTGCTAGCTCACTTAACCAGGGACTGGGGCCCACAGGGTGAAGGGTGCTAATCACATGAGGCCAGAGGGCACTATCTCAGTTGCCACCTCCAAAACACGGGCTGGAAGAATCCAGACAGCATCACAGGTGAGTGGGAAAGAGCTGATCAGCCATCTCGACAAAGCCAGTGAACCACAACATTATTTCAAGAAGCACAGAACCAGAGCAGTGCTGGCTGTTTCATATCAGCCTAGCACACGGCCTGGCCTTCCTAGCTAAGAGGCTCAAGACTAACGTCCTATCTTTAGGTCATTTGTTGTTAAATTCACTGCTGCACAATTTCAAGTTCAAAAGATGGGAAACAAAGTTCAGCAATCTGTTGTCAGAGGCAGACAGTCCTGGCTGTTAACATTCTCTCTCCTGCCCATCTGGATACACAGGGCATCTCGTGGAGAAAGGCGTCTCTCTCCTAATCATATACAGATAGCATCTGTCTAACAATGGACATCGCTTCTGTAAGCTCCAAGTAAGGGGGGGGGGAGCATATTGTCTGTTGTATAAAATGTAAAACCTGGTATAGTCCTGAATATCAATGTTATTCCAATTATTTAACATAAGCAAGTCAGCATTTACTTTTCAAAATGCCATCCAAATTTCTTTTCCATTACTAAGAGGCAAGTTGCTTCTTATTAAGATGAGATATTCTGAACTGGCATACCTATTGTACTTCATCAGTATAATAAACCTTTAGCCCTCAGAGCTAAAAAGGGATGATCCATCCATTCATTTGAAATGTACTCAAGTTCAGACCAGGCCCATGAATGCTAGCCAACAAGTCAACCCTGCTGGTGAGGATGAATGAGTTTTAGGATCACAGAATAACCTGGGAATCCTTTGAACCTGCCCCCCACCCCCAACCCCCGCTTCCTCAGAGCTGAATCTGCGCTCAGAAGCGCTGGCTCTGGTCTCATTCAGGGATCTGGGCTCTGGGGGCTGGCAGTGCCCCCCGCCCCGCAGAGGGTGGCGAGCCTGCAGCGGGCATCCTCAGGACGGTGGGGGCATACATACCCTTCCCGCTGGGCTTCTCCTTTCTCCAGCTCCTGAATAACCCCCAAGAGCACTTTGATGGTTTCCTGGCTTGAACTGATCAAGTTCTCCATCATCTGAAGCTGTGCTTTCAGGTCGACCACTTCCGTGTGAGGCACGATTTGTCGGCATTCTTCATCCACAGCGAGCGCCGGGGGACAAGGCTGGCGCTCCTGCCCGGAGGGGGCCTGAGTCTGCAGGGAGGCGTCTTCTTCGCTACATTCTGGGGACAGGCACTGCGTCGGGGGCGAGCAGGCTGGGGCGGCGCCCGGAGGGGCCGGGAGCCCACTGGCCCGCGCGGCGGTTCTCCGCTCCAGGTCCACCGCGGGGCAGAGGGACCACTCGCTCGAGGGGGCGGAGTTTGACAAGGCCGGCGCTGGGGCCCTGGTGCCTGCGGCGGGTGCGTCCACCGTGGCCACCTCGGTCTTAAACACCCTCCGGTGGGCCGATGGAGCCGGCTCCTCAGTGTCCGGGGTCGCCCTGCCCTGCCTGGCTTTCCCGGGCAGCTGGTACTCCAGCTCCTGGGAGGACGACCGAGTGGAGTTCTGCACCCGGGCATCGCGGCAGCTGTGCCGGTCGGGGGTTTTGCAGGGCTCGGCGCAGTTGACTCCGGCGGGCGGCCCCAGCGCGTTCACGTGTTCGTCGGAGTGGAAAACCAAGGCCGTGGTCTTCTGCACCCGGCCGGCACCCCACGGCCGGGCCTCCTCGCCGGGCCCTTCCTGGCTCTTCTCTTTCCCGTCAATTACCAACCCGTTGTTCTGACTTTTAAAGGCCTCCGTGCCTGGGATGCTTTTGAGAGTCCCCTTCTTGCGGTCCAGAGGGAAAGTCTGGTAACACTTCTTGAGGTCGGGCGAGGTCTGCACACCCGTGCTCTTGGTGACGTTGGGTATGGAGCGCCGGGCGGGCACGGTCATGTACTTGCGATAGGCGGCCCTGCAGGACGCGGGCCTGGCCTCCCGCTTTTCACCCTGCGGGCCCGAGGCGAGCTGAGTGTCCCTCTGCTCGTTCTGCGCCTCGCAGATGTCCTTAAAGCGCACCTGCAGGGCTTTATTCCGCTTCTTAATCTGCCGGTTGGGATCCAGGGCATATTTCATCTCCAGGGCCAGACAGGCGGCAGGCTCCACTTCACTGGCGGAGGTCGTGAGTACGCATTTGCTGGGTTCGTTACTGACCATGGTTCCTGCAGGCGGATACAACACAGACCTCGTCAGTGGAACAGAAACCCGCACCAAACCACGGGCAGCGCAGGCTTTGGGCCAGAATGACGGATGCCTGCTCCCGAATTATTTTTAAACAGGTGGGGTCGGCCTTTATGCTAAGGAAAATCAGACAGGCAGAGAATCCCTGGCAGGCACAGTGTGAAATGCTTCTCAGATATTAAAGCTTGCCTCCCTCTCCGTGTGGGATACACTCGTTTTTCCTTTGATAGTAAGGCATGTTTCCCCATTAGACAAACCTGTTTTACTATATTCATCAAGAAGCCCAACGACTCTGCCTCTTCTGATTTTTTTTTTTTTTTGCAGATTGCCATTTTGCACGCACATCTCCACTTCACAGGCAGATGGTTTTTCAAAATGCAACTTACTTGGTTTGGGCTTTTATTACTTTTTTGAGGGGTACCGATTAATCTATTATTGGAATCTGAGAGAATTGCTGTTTTCTCTTAAAGACTTTGTGGGGATTCTGGCTCCTGATCCAATAAATGTGGAGAGTCCTCCAATGAGGAACTGAACTACCTCTATTTATGTTAGCCATTCTGGATGCTATGTGACAGGGGGCCGGGCTGATTTATGGGAAAACCGTAAAGGGAACAATCTCGGCAGTATGGCTTGCTTCTCATGGGTTAACATCAGTCATAGTGAGGGCATGGGTTTCCTGGTTTCTACAAAGTCTGTGTTAGCAACTCTTTTCTTTGATTCTGTGGAGAGGGGTATTTGAAAATACTTAAAAAAAAAAAATAAATTATTCATTCTAGAATCAAGTTTTGTGTTTTGATCACAACCTCTGCAAATGAACACAATGGTGGTTGTTTCAGGATTTAAATTCTGAAAGAAAATAAAATCACAAGGCTTTATGTTAATCATGCAGATTCATCTTGGGCTGAATTATTAAATGCAACTAAAAAGATGCAGGTGGCCAGTGATTGCTCTGGGGGAATACCAGTGGGTAAAATGCCTTCACTTTATTAGGCAGATTCACAGCTGTTTATCACACATGGAAGGACTTTCTTGAGGGCTGAACTGAAAGCAAGAAAATACAGTTAAGTATGCCGTTTGTGAGTTAGCGTTGCTTTTTTTCCCCTCCCTGTGTTCAAGAAGAAAGCAGACGGGAGGAATCTGGGGTGTGGAGGGCGCTGGTGTCCAAGCAAGGTGCCCAGAGAGGCAGGGTCATTGACAGGAGCCGGTGAGAGCGATTCAAGAACAGGCTCGGGCTGCCATGTCCCAGTCACCACCCAGGGACCCTCACGGACCCTCCCACAGCACTTCCTGAGAAGTGCCATAGGCCCTGTGATCAGGTGACTGCCGCTCTGGGAGTCAGGGGTGTGAGGTCTCCAGGTGCCCTGCTGGTAGGGGAGAGCTGTGCTTAACACCTTCAGTGCCACTCATCCCACTGCAAGCCAAAAACTCGAGTTCAGAGAGGGCATGTCACTTCTTAGTCACACAGCAAGTAAGATACATAGGCAGGATCCTGATCTACCTGCGCCCCCCCCCCTCCCCCCGAGCCCGTGTAGTTTCTCATACCTCGGGAGTCCAGTGAACAGAGAGGCAGGCACTCCCCTATGGCCCTGAGTTACAACTGCAGGCCAGCAGGGGTGGCGTTTCAGGGAGGAGCCCAGAGCCCTTGGCCAAGAGGGAGTTACAGATCCGCCTCCCCCCGCCCCTGACTCGGAGTCTGGGGACTCGGGTAAGTTGACACTGCAGGCCAGCATGGCACTAGCATGGTCCAGAACTTCACTGGTGTTACTGAATGAGAGCCTTAGAGAAAAAGTGCAGTACTTCATCAATTATGCCTTGAACAGTCAGCCAGTAATCACGTTAGAGGACATTAGAAGTAATCCCTGCAGAGCTTGGTTCCAATCACATCAGGTTTCCTGGCCTTAGCACTCTTGGTGTTATGGGCCAGGTGCGTTTTGTTGGGGGGTTCTCCTGTGCCTTGTAAAATATGTGTTAGCATCTTGGCTTCTCTCCTCTCGATATCAGTAGCACCCCCACTCTAAAGTGACAGCCAGAATGGTCTCCAGACGAGTAGCCCTGGGGGTGCCTAGCTGACTCCTATCGAAAACCACTGCATCAGACCTTTAACCTTGGGTGGCTAGAGTGTGTCCTGAAGCTAAGGCAGGGGTGGAAAGCCACGTGAGAGACCAGGAAGGCATCACAATGTCCCACCTCCCTAGGAGGCATGCAGAGTGCCAGCTCTGAGGCTCTACTCTGCAAAAGATGTAGCTCAGAGCTCAGCCAACACGGAGGTGAGTCCTCATCCCATGGCAACTGTGTGTCCTCTGACAAAAGAATTGATCTGAAACAGTCACATCTGGGGGAGTCGAGTAAGACAGAGAACAAGGCTTCTTTCGTCTTTGGTGCTCTACTGGGCACTGGGGGTATTTGGAGATGTCTGTCATTTGAAACTTGAAAAATGAGGCAGTTTTGGAAAGACGGAAAAGGCAGAGATACAGACTGAAGAAGATCATGGGTGACGGGGACAGAGCATGCCTGATGAGGGTAGATTATATATATATGTAGTTGAGAGACACTTATTCCATGAGGCTAAAAAGATGCACGCAGAGGCCTTCTGTGAGGGAGAGGGTGGGGGCCGTGGGGATAATGAGGAAATGGAACCTTAACCCTCACTCTTAGCTTGCATTCCTGCTCTAAAGTCTCAGTTGTCCAGTTGTGTCAGAATGTATTGTGCCGTCATCCTGCAGAAGACCTTCATACTAGGGAGAATTTGAAAGAGAGAGCATTTTTACAAAAAGCAATTTACTAGTAATTTTTCAGCCTTTTCCCTGCCACGACTAAAAAATGTGTGTCTGAATAAGTTTGTCCTACCATGCTATTCATCATCACGATTTGCCAAGAACTGCACTGAAATAATTTTTTTACATCAGTCTGCTGGTTTGGAAAGATATTCTGGTCTTGGACCCAACCATCAAACTAATAAAACAAATCAGAAGAATTAATTGCCAGTGGCAAAATAATAATAATAATAAATTCCTAAGCGCCTTTCTGTTTTACAGAGTTGCAAAATATATAAAAATAATTTCCTTATTAGTAGAAATGATGGTGATAAATAAGATTTTTTTTTATCAGTTTAGTTTGTTGTTGGTTTTTCTTTTCTTTTTTTTTTTAGGTAATATTAAGAGTCCTCCTAATCTTGCTAGTAGTAATGACACCAAGGATTTTTGTAGGTGACTTATTTTGCCTTTAGATGAGTTTATAAGTTCTATTGAGGGTATTTTCTAAAGCTTTACAAAGGAATTTTCCTGGATATTAAGAATCACTTTCATATCAAGTTGGGCACAGCTTTCTAGGGTGTTCGTTTACTGTTTCTTGCTGGGGGGATCGGGCTTATAGTGATTACCATTAAGAAAATGATTTAGTCTGGGAGTTTGGGGATAATAGAGGCCAACCATCATATACAGGATGGATAAACAACAAGGTCGCACTGTGCGGCACAGAGAACTATATGCAGTGCGTGTGCTCACTCAGTCGCGTCTGGCTCTGTGACCCATGGACTGTAGCCCACCAGGCTCCTCGTCCATGGAATTTTCCAGGCAAGAATACCAGAGTGGGTTGCCATTTCCTACTCCTGGGGATCTTCCTGACCTAGAGGTCGAACGTGCATCTCTTGTGCTCCTGCATTGGCAGGCAGATTCTTCACCACTGTGCCACCTAGGAAGCCCAGTATCTTCAATATCCTGTGATAAAGCATAATTAAAAAGCATAGTCAAGGCTATGGTTTTTCCAGTGGTCATGTATGGATGTGAGAGTTGGACCATAAAGAAAGCTGAGCGCCGAAGAATTGATGCTTTTGAACTGGGGTGTTGGAGAAGACTCTTGAGAGTCCCTTGAACTGCAAGGAGATCCAACCAGTTCATCCTAAAGGACCAGTCCTGGGTGTTCATTGGAAGGACCGATGTTGTAGCTGAAACTCCAATACTTTGGCCACCTGATGCGAAGAGCTGACTCATTTGAAAAGACCCTGATGCTGGGAAAGATTGAGGGCAGGAGGAGAAGGGGATGACAGAGGATAAGATGGTTGGATGGCATCACTGAGTCAATGGACATGGGTTTGGATAAACTCTGGGAGTTGGTGATGGACAGGGAGGCCTGGCGTGCTGCAGTTCATGGGGTCTCAAAGAGTCGGCCACGACTGAGCAACTGAACTGATAAAGCATATGAAAAAACACGTGTATAACTGAGTCTCTGTACAACTGAAACTAACACAGTATTCTAAATCAACTATATTTCGATAAAATTTTAAAAAAGAAAATGATTGTGTCATGCAAGAAAACTGGTTGTTCTCTAGATAAGAGTCCAGGCGACAAGTGGAACTTCCTGGCACACTTGCTTTCCATTGTTCCTTCATGTGTTTGTTCACATACGCCTTACAGCGTAGCCTCCCCATTCAGCCCGTGCGTTCCTGGTGTCTGGGTCCTAAACCAAGGCCAGTCTTCCCCTGTGCACTTCACTTTCATTTCCTCCCTGATCTCATGACACCCTCACAGCGATGGCACTATTGTTATCCTCAAGCTGCACATAGAGAAACTGAGGCACTAGATTTTTTTCCGGATCTTGCTCAGAATCACGTAGCCAGTCCATCCCTTTAAGTTCCCTACTGGGGAACTCTGTAACCCGAAATGACCCACGGGAAACCACAGAAAGCATCAAACAGCTGGAACTCGGGGCAGGCCCTTTCCTGGGCCTGTTTGCACAGAGGGTCCGGGTGTGGCTGGCTCAGAGCTCCGCCACGAAGGTCTCAGCAGCATCCGTGGTCCTGCAGCAGACTCAACCCGAGTTGCCTGGAGTTCTGAATTGATCGTGATGCCAAAATGCCATTTTCAGTGGGGGACTGTCAGAGTTAAACTACTGGCTCTAAAGCTGAAGGAGTTCGGAAAGTTTATTTTTCAAAAGAAAATTGTGTTTTAGAATTCACTGGACTGTGCTGTCTTGAGGTAAAAAC